ATGGGACAGCAATGATAATTCTGTGAACTTAGGCAGATCATGAGAGGGAGGGCAGGAAGGGTTTATAGGTTTATAAGATTATGCATGGGAAAGAGCAGGTAGAGAAAGAGGTACTTTTCTCCCTTTCTCACAAGACAAGAACTCGTGGGCACTCCATGAAATTGCAGAGCGGTCGGGTTAGAACGGATAAAAGGAAGTCCTTCTTCACCCAAAGAGTGATGAACACATGGAATTCACTGCCACAGGAAGTGGTGGTGGCTCCAAGCATGGACGGCTTCAAAAGGGAATTAGATAAGCATATGGAGCAGAGGTCCTTCAGTGGCTGTTAGCCACAAGGTATAGATAGGGACTCTCGGTCTGGGGCAAGGGATGCTCTGTCTTCTTGGTGCTTGGGGGGGGGGGCACAGTGGGAGGGCTTCTAATGTCCTGGCCCCACTGGTGGACCTCCTGATGGCCCCTGGTATTTCTGGCCACTGTGTGACCCAGAGTGTTGGACTGGATAGGCCTTTGGCCTGATCAAACATTGGCATCTCTTATGTTCTTATGTTCTTAAGGGTTGCTTCAGTGCTTAGTTCTCGTGGCCCTTACACGCCCAGGGAAATGCCGATCACCACTTTGGGGTCAGGAAGGCATTTTTCTCCAGGCCAGTTTGGCCGGGGATCCTGGAGGGTTTTTTGCCCTCTTCTGGGGTCACTGGGGATGTGGAGGGGGAGGTATTTGTGAATTTCCTACATTGTGCGGGGGTTGGACTAGATGACCCCAGAGGTCCCTTCCAACTCTATGAGTCTATGATTCTACCTACTTGGATCCAAAGGGGAGGGTGAGAGAAATGTTGGCCGGGCTTTTAATGTTAATCTGACTGGCCGTTTGTAGATATAAAGCAGTTGGGCTTGTTATAATTGGGAGGTTTCTTGAGTATTCTTGGGAATGCCATGTTCCACGGAGGTGAAATCGCATCTAGCCCATGGCGTGTGGTTCTTGGCAAAGAGTCACGAACCCGTGTAATACCCTGTTGCAGGAAGTAGTGGTATAATAATATTTCAGTCTAACAGCAGAGTTTCCTAGTAAGACAAAATAATGAAGTTGGGCTGGAATTGCAGACCAGGAAGAAGAGAAGAGAAGAAAAGAAGAAGAGATTGGATTTATACCCCTCCCTTCACTACCCAAAGGAGTCTCAGAGCGGCTTACAAACTCCTTTCCCTTCCCCTCTCCACAACAGAAACCCTGTGAGGGAGGTGGGGCTGAGAGAGCTCTTTTGAGGACTGCCCTTGAGACAACAGCTCTGAGAGAACTTGTGACCAGTGTTCCCTCTAAGCTGAAAGTGTGAGCCAGCTCACCATTTTTTAGCCTCCGGCTCACACATTGTTGTCTTCGCTCAGGAAGGAAGGCTCCAGAGGAAACCAATTTATGCAGTGGTCAAATCACTCACTCACAACCAGTGCTCCCTCTAAGCTATGGAGTCCTGTGAGCAAAAACTCTACTTTGTGAGCTACTGGCATTAAAGGTGTGAGTGCGTGATTTGGCTACTGCATAAATTCGTTTGCTCTGGAGCCCTCCTTCCTGAGCTAAGACAAAACTGTCTGAGCCAGGGGCTAAAAAGCTGTGAGCTAGCTCACACTAACTCAGCTGAGAAGGAGCCCTGCTCAGAACTTTAATCCCAGCAGCGCCCAAAGTAGAATTTTTGCTCACAAGATTCCACAGCTTAGAGGGAGCGCTGCTTGTGACTGACCCAAGGTCACACCAGCAGCTGCATGTGGAGGAGTGGGGAATCAAACCGGGTTCTCCCAGATTAGAGTCCGCGCTCCTAACCACGACACCAAACAATGCACGCAAACGTGCCTTGTTCAAGGCAACCAGACAATCAGGGTAGGAAAAACTTTATCCCTACTAAGAAGTCACCTCCTGCGCTGATCCGTTACAGCACAGCTGTTTAGCAACTCCTCAAGAGTCCAGGGTGGTGTTTTGGCTTGCTTAGCACCTGTTCCATGGTGAGAAGGCTCATGCCGGAGAGCTTTCTGGTGGATCCTGTGTTTGTTTTTCTTGGGCACTGTCAGCCTTTGGGCTGCTTCCGCTTACAGGGAAAGCATCAGTCCAACTTCCCTGCAGGAAAGGAAGTGGGTTCCAAACAAAAGGCCAGAAACTAAAATTGATCCAAAACAAAGAACTGGAAACTTCGGATGTGCCCCCAAATTGCTGATGCTCGTAGGGGTAAACAGTAAAAAGTCCTTGGCTCATACGGACTTTTTGAATCATACGGACACTGAAACCCACTGAAATGTTGGGAAGAGAGAAGAAGAAGAGAGAGGAAGAGAGAAAAAGAGATTGGATTTGCACCCCGCCCTTCACTCGGAGTCTCAGAGCGGCTTACAAACTCCTTTCCCTTCCCCTCCGCACGACAGACACCCTGTGAGGCAGGCGGGGCTGAGAGAGCTCTTGACAGAAACGGCTCTTTTTCAAGAACAGCTCTGACAGAACTGTGGCTTGCCCAAGGTCATCCAGCAGGTGCAAGTGGAGGAGTGGGGAATCAAACCCGGTTCTCCCAGATCAGAGTCTGCACACTTAACCACTACACCAGACTGACATGAGATGAGATGAGATTATCTGGCCCTGGTTACATCTAGGCTAGACTGCTGCAGTACACTGTAGGAGGGACTGCCCTTGGAAACTGTTCAGAAACTTTAATTGGAGCAGGATTCTGTAACCAGGATTTATTATTTTATTTGTTTCATTACATTTTATGAATCGCCTAATCCCCACAAATGTGGGGATGTTGACCGGAGTGGGTAGTACGGACCAGATTGGTGTAGAGCCAGTTTGGTGTAGTGGTTAGTAGCGCGGACTCTAATCTGGGAGAACCGGGTTTGATTCCCCGCTCCTCCTCCACGTGCAGCTGCTGGTGTGCGGTGTTTCCTCTAAGCTGGGTCAGTGTGAGCTAGCTCACAGGTTTTTAGCCTCCGGCTCACACATTTTTGTCTTAGCTCAGGAAGGAGGGCTCACTTACAGCTTTAATGCCAGCAGCTCACAAAGTGGAATTTTGCTCACAAGACTCCACAGCTTAGAGGGAGAGTTGCTGGTGTGACCTTGGGTCAGATACAAGTTCTCTCAAGGGCAGTTCTCGAGAGAGAACCTCACAGGGTTCCTGTTGTAAGCCGCTCTGGGACTCCGAGTGAATGGCGGGGTATAAATCCAATCTCTTCATCTCTCTTCTTCGGATGGCTCAGTCTTGGGCCATCACTTAGTCCTAGGCCTCCCAGTCTGTTTCCAGGTACTATTCAAGGTGCTGGTATAGATGTTTAAATGTAGTGGTGTAGTGGTTTGTAGTGGTATAGTCAGTTTGGTGTAGTGGTTAAGTGTGCGGACTCTAATCTGGGAGAACCAGGTTTGATTCTTCACTCCTCCACTTGCACCTGCTGGATGACCTTTGGCAAG